TTCACAGGGACTGGGCTTTTTCACAGGGGACCTACGCAATTCACAGTTTCCATGAATATCATGAAATCTTTAATTTGGTAGGTCCCTACTCATAAAACCAGTAGCATCTGGGGAAGGATGTTCTCTCCAGAAAAATAAAATTAACAGGAATTAATATTAGAAGTAAGCCTGGTCTTTTTGCACAGCTAAGCTAAAAAAACAAACTAACTAAAATAAACAAGAAAGAACCTCCTACCCCCAAACCCATTTCAGTTGAACAAATACTACCTTACAGAAATTGAAAGGCATTTTATGACAAAATACAGATTTATATTTGGTGCAATGTTATTAATCAATTTTAGACTCTAGGTTATATCAAACGCTTTATTTCTGTCAATCTAGTAAATATTTTAAACCACCTTAACTGTACCACAAGCTCAAACCTTTGGAAGCAGGGGAAGGAGTTCCATGGTAAACCTATATTGTTTTTATACTTTAAATAACTTTTTTTTGTTACTACTTAGTTTTTTCCAAATATATGAACCAAAACAAACTTTTTAAAGTTGCCTAGAAAAAAATTGTTTGATTTTGTTTCCTACTAGGCCTCACTCCTTGAGCGTATCCTTAGCTTAAAAATAAAACAAAGCAAGGCAGGAAAAAAAAAAAGAATCAAATGTCGCTCCCCCCTAAAGTAACAACTTACCACGTACTCTTGGGAAGATTTAGAAATCTCTACTTCAAACTAGTTTTTGCATTTGAAAATCTCCAATAAACATTCTTATTTCTATAAACATTCCAATAAAGTGAAGTCAAGGAAGTGTTCCTAGTCATACGAAATGAGCTGTCAAGAACATTAAGATACAGGGCAGTAGGTGGTTGGTGGGATATGCAGCACAATAGCAGAGGAAAAATAAGAATGAGAAAAATTGAAAGCTGAATGCAGTTCTTTAGCACAAACAAAAACAAACAAACAAACCAACCCACTAAGCCTATAGTAAGCTGGGGAATCCGTATTTCTTTTAAACACTGGGAAAAAAGACTTTGTCAATGAACCTTTAGAAAGTGGAGCAGGAAAAAAATTCTGGTATTTATATATCGAAAAAAACCTAACTTACGTTAGTGGAACTGTGATTGTAGCTTTTCCTTGCCTTTTGCTTTTCAGTGCACGAAGTTTATCACCTTGAGTTACACAGTTTGTTTCATCTTCATCACTGTACTGCATAAGTAAACAAAGAATAAGCCAAAGATTTTAAGATATACCCCTTGAGATATTAATTTTTGTTCTACAAGTAACTATTGATAGAGTTGATATAATTTCCTCAAGAAGAAAATTGGGAGGTCTAAATTAGCTTTATGAAAAATATCCTTCATATTCTCACCTACTGTTTTTAAATCTGCAGACCTTTAAACTACTGCATGAGCTATTTGGCCAGAATAGCATCTGACACTGAAACAATAAAAATGTTGTCAGTACCTTTGCTCATACACTGCATTATCTTGACTTCTATTCCTCAGCTATCACATTCCTTTCCAACTCCTATCTGACTTCAAAAAACCACAACCACCATCCTCTACAGTAGATGCCTATGGTTAAGTGACAGTATTATAAAAATCAGTTTTCCTGGTAGAAAAAGGCATTTCAATAAGGGAGCCCACTTGAACAATAATTGAGGTATTTCTGTTGGCAAACTTCAAAATCTTGATTCATTGTCTGCTTCTTCACCTAATTAAAAGGTTTAGGCATAATAGTGGCACTCTTTCACCAGTACAGAATACTTCCATCTTTAATGCCTGCTTTTGATTTCTTTCATCTTCCAAATATTTTGGTATTAAAAAGAATGTAGCAGAACATAGAAGAATAATTTGACAATTTTAGTTTTATTATACCCACAGCT